ATCAACCACAACTGGGTCAACAGCAGCATTTTGGGACTTTTGGGTTGCTCAGGAATCAGATTTTTAGGGCAGCAAATTCCATATTATCATTCCTAATGACTCAATTAGTGCCTAATCATTAATTATCCATGGATTATCCCTAATTTTTTCCCTCAGGAAGACACCATTTCCATCAACCACAGTTGGGTCAATGACTGCATTCTGGGAATTTGGGACATTTTGAGTTGTTCAGGAATTGGATTTTGGGGCAGCACATTCCATATTATTATTCCTAATAACTCAATTAGTGACTAATCACTAATTATCCGTGGATTATTCCAATTTTTTCCCTCAGGAAGACACCATTTCCATCAACCACAACTGGGTGAACGGCTGCAACGTGGCCGTCATGTGGTGCTTCCTGCAGGATGAGCTGGCGGCCGTGCAGCGGGAAATCAGCCAATGGAAACTTCCCATGGATGACTGGCACCTCCAATGCCAGGTACACCCCCATCCCAGATTTTCCAGGAATTTCCAGGATTTTTGGAGCTCAAGTTTTGCCCTCTCACGGGGGAATTGCCGTGGTTTATTAGGAAGTTGGTGTTTGGGATAGTTTTGTTTTGGTGGGAAATGTTGCCAATAAAAGTTTGGGAATTGCTTCTGGTTATTGGCTGTGTCCAGGCTGGAATGTTGGTTGGAAAACTGGAAAACTTCACGATCAACAGAGTTGGGAATGTTCACCTGGAGAAAGGAAAATTCCAGGGAGAGACCTCAGAGCCCCTTCCAGAGCCTAAAGAAGCTTCAGAAAAGCTGGAGAGGGATTTGGGATAAGGAATGGAAGGACAGGACACAGGGAATGGCTTCCCACTTAATTTTGATGGAATATTGAGAAGGAATTTCTAGCTGGGATGGAATTCCCAGACAAACTGTGGCTGCCCTATCCCTGGAGTTGGGAAAGAATCCAAAACTCCATAATCCAACCAAAATTCCATGAGGAAGAGGATGGGTGGGATTCCTTCCAGAATCTTCTGGATGAGATAAATTCCAAGTTTATTTCTGGAAGCTGTTCCCTCTCCTTGGGTTGATTTCCTTTCTTTGGGAAAATTCCTACAATTAATATTGGGGAAAAAAAACCTGGTGCCTTTAGATCCAAGTAAAAAAATTATCCAACGGAATTCCTTATGATCCCAGAGAATTCCCATTCATTTTGGGGGGGATTTTTCCTGGATTTTTCCCCGCTGTCATTCCCATTCAAATTCCATTTTCTCCCTTCAGCTGATCATGAAATCCTGCACGGGCATCGACTACAAGGAATTCTACAACTTCCTCAAAGTCATCGCGGAAAACCGAATTTCCATCTTGGAGAAGGGCCTGGATGAGGAGGAATCCTCATCCCACAACAATTCCAAAGCTGCCATCTCCACCTTGGGAATGCTGCACGCCGTCTTCGACCTCAAGAGGACGGTGAAGGTGCTGAGCTCGTTAAGCGCTAACGAGGATTTCCGGAAGCTGGATCTGAATTCCCTCTCTCCTTCTCCGGAGGCTCTGCTCCAGCACCTGGAATCGGCCATCGACACGGCCCTGCTCTGAATTCCTGATTTCCCAAGCTTTTATCCAAAAGGAGTTTGGAGGAAATGGGATTTGGACAAGAGCTCTAGTCCAGCAGGAGGAGGGAGAACGTTCCCAAAGTTCTGAGCGGTTTGGAGGAATTAGGGGAAAAACAATCCCAGCCAAAGGGAAATCCCAGGTTTTTTTTAGGATTCTGAGCTTCACTCAGGGAAAGAATTCCCTAGGGATCAAGTCTGGTGTTGCAATGAATGAGATTCCCTGTGCTTGAGCTCAGCTTTGTTAAAACCTCTCCTCTTCCAAGTGCTGCTCAGCTTTTCCATCTTTTTTTAGGGAATTCCAGCTGGTGACGCTTCCATGGAAGGCTGAGCTGGAGC